GAAACACTTTTTTATGTATCTGTTATACTTTTTGTGTGGGAGAGCAGCTGAAATAAAAATGACGACTTGGGGAGAACTGGGACAACGTGCCTGAACCCTGTCCCAGTTCTCCCGCATGCAAATGCATGGAAATTTTTTTTCCAGGATACTCAGTGCTGTCAGTGTAATCCAAAAAAGATAATCGAGGTGATTTCTTTAGGTGTCAACTTTAAAAACACCTTCTTCTTCGTGATGGGTCATCAAATTTTTATTGTATTCCATTTAAATCACATTTCTCGACCAGTCCCAGTTCTCCCCATCATCAGTCCCACTTCTCCTGGACGTGTCCCAGTTCATCCCATTGTCAACCTTTCCTAAAATTTAAATTTGAGAAGTAACACGTGAACAAAACACGCATAAAAACAGTAAAGAATGAAGGTGACATAAACCGTTTACCAGTAAATGCAATCAATTTACTTAAATCTTAAATATTCTATTTTTTACGATTTTTCAAAGTTGACGTCAAAATAATGTCCCACTTCTCCCCAGTCTCCCCTACTTGTGATAACTTTGGTATATTTTACAGGGAAAACGACAGTCGTTTAGTCTTTTTTCACTTTTACAATCTGACTTGAAAAAAAAACTACGTAATGAGATCAGGACAGAAACATCAGGCGTTGGACAATTACACATTTCTTAACCCGCGCACCGACGGGGGTCTGCGCCAACTTCGCACCGACGGGGGGGGGGCGGATGACCGCCCCCCCCCTGAGATCTCGAGAACGAAGCAAGGTAGCGACAAGCAGTAAACGGCATCGGATACGCACGGTCAATATCTACAATTTTTACACAGGTCATTTTCAGGTCAGGTCAAAGATGACGTCACAGGGGTCGAAAAAATTCAAAATGGCGGCGCTAGATATGGAGAGTTTTTCTCGAATAACATTCGAATTAGTCAAGATAGGAGCAAACTAAGGGCATCATCGTGATCCTCTCGTCAATCCGCATCGAATAATATATATGTTGACCTCGAAAGGTCAAGGTCAAAGGTTGACCTCAGGTCACGTGACCTCGAGGTCATCATGTATATCATTCGATGCGTCTTGACGAGCTGAACACAATGAGACCATCCACGCGGCTGTATCTTGTTCCTGTACGGAGTTATTGGCCAAAAACCTTTGGTGACCTTTGATGACGTCACATGACCTCACAGCTGCCCAACAGCAAAACAGACCTCAAGGTAGTGAAGGTTGATCGTATATGAAGTCATGTGTGGTATATGGGGCCATTCCGACCCGTTTTAGTGGTAAAAATAGGGAGTTGATTTTTCCCCCATTGCCTTATAATGGGGAGGTCGCGAAATTGACCTGACCTTAGGTCACCGATATCAAAATTCCGAGATATACAAATTGTAGCTACTAATGACCTTATAACATCCTGCGACTTTCAAAGGCCTCCGACATCTACTGTAGCTCTGGCACGGTGACAAAGTTGCAAAAAAGTGACTTGAGGTTGGGTCATTCAAAGTGACCTGGTGACCTGACCTTAAAAGGTAGGAGGTTCAAACTTGCACACCATGTGTAAAATTGATGAGGGAATAGTCGTACCAAATTTCGCGGCGCTTTTCCCGCTATTCGCGAAAAACCTCAGGGGGGCGGATATCCGCCCCCCCGTCGGTGCGCGGGTTAAGCACCTTCAGAGCAATCGATGCTAACCAGCCAACCGCTATTTGACGAACCGGCATCTTGTAACCTTGCTTATAGGTTTTCCATCCACGGTCCTTCCCGTTCCCTGACCTCCCTCCCCAGTCCCACCCTCTTCAGCCGGTCTTGAGCGGGCTCCAGGGTCACAGGGGTCAGCCCGACATAGTCCCAATGTCACAGAGGTCACCTCCCTCTGACCCCGGCGGGGCAGCTGCGGGCGCCCGGGCCGACCCCCTTCCCCTCCCCTCCCGACGCTCATATCTGGCAGACCGCCCCCCCCCCCTCTGTCGGGGAGGGATGCCGGTCCGTCTGGAAGCCCAGACGATGTCCCCGGGTCGGACGAATCGATAGTGCCAAATTCCCGGGATCCGTGGCCTCCCCTCCCTCCCCCTCCCTCACCCCGGGGAGAGGCCAGGGGTGACAGGCGGTCAGGAGGTCAATGGAGGTCATCGGTGAGGTCGGGAGGTCACTGGGGGTCGTTGAAGAGGTAACAGGAGGTTACGCCGTAGGTCGGAGGTCATTTAAGAGGTCATTTGAGATATTTTCATTAAGATGGGGGTTATTCAAAGGAATGGTAGAGGTTGGCTAGTGACACTGTCAAAAAGATGGAGACTCTCCATCTTTTGAGAGTCATCTTTTGAGATGTGACCTCTGAGGTCAGCAGCCGTCAGGAGGTTACCAGAGGTCAGCGTGGATGGAAACCGGGAGGTCACTGAAGGCTATGCTGGAGGCAGAAGGTTATCGTGGGTCCTTATCGAGGTCAGGAGGTTATCACTCAACAGAGGTCATTCGCAGAGGTCATTCTGGAGATCAAACAGTTTACAGATGTCATCGTGAAGGACACTCTAGATTTAGGTAACCATGTATTGTCATTGAGGTCCGCGGTTAACAAGGGTCACCACGGAGGTTGAGAAGTAACCAGAGGTTGTTGCGGATTGACGCATAGAGGTCACTGAGGGTAATGATGGATGTAGGTTATCGAAGGGCCTTGTATTGTATTGTATTGTATTGTATTGTATTGTATTGACATCGCGTCTCATCCACTAGTGTGGCTTTTCATGAGAACAGGTACAGATATAAAATGTTAACATGGATGAGTGGGAACAAAATCACATCACACTAACTATGCACTCCATTGACACACATGATGTTCAAACATTCGGTCAATCTAGCATCCCTTGTGATTGTATCAAGCCTTCTGAAGGTTTATTAGAGGTCACCGGAGATTATCTTGGTGGTCAGGTCACCAGAGCTAATTGTGAAAGTGGATAGGCCAGCTAGGTCGTTGTGGAGGAATTGCCCCGCGCACTGACGGGGTCTGCGCCAACTTCGCACCGACGGGGGGAACGGATAGGTACCTGCCCCCCCCCCCCCCGTGATATCTCGAGATTCGAGAACGGAGCAGGCTAGCGACAAGCGGTAAGCGCCATGGGATACAGACAGACAATGTCTACAATTTTTTACTGAGGTCATTTTCAGGTCAGATCAAAAATGACGCCAGAGAAGTAAAAAAGAAAGCCAAAATGGCGGCACTACAAATGAAGAAAGTTTTTAACGAACGGCTTTCGAAGTAATCAAGCTAGGCAAAAACTAATAGCACCATCGTCATCCTCTTGTCAAGGCACTGAACACAATGAGACCATTCGCGCGGCTGTATCTCTTTTCTGTAGAGAGTTATTAGCAAAAACCTTTAACGACAGTTGATGACGTCACATGACATTACAGTTGTCCAAAAGCAAACAAGACATCAAGGTAGTCAAGGTTAGTTTACTATTATATGTTATTTATGGTCATTTATGGTATAGTTGGCCATTACGACGCGGCTTAGTGAACTAAATCAGGCAGATGATTTTTACCCATTTGACTTAGGTTTAATGGGGAGGTCAAGAAATTGACCTGACCTTAGGCCACCGATATCAAAATTCCGAGACAAACAGTTCGTAGCTAACAGTGACCTTATTATAACTTTCAAAGGACTCGGTCTTCTACTGTAGCTCTGACACGGTGACAAAGTTGCAAAAAAGTGACTTGAGGTCGGGTCACTCAAAGTAACCTGGTGACCTGACCTTGAAAGATAGGATGTTCAAACTTGCACACCATGTGTGAAATTCATGTGGGAATGGTCCAGTCAAATTTCGCGGCCGCGCTATTTATGAAAAGGCTCAGGGAGGTGGGGGTGGGGGGGGGGATTATCAATATCCGCCCTCCGTCGGTGCGCCGGTTAAATTATGAAAGTTCAAATTCCAATCGGCACACGAAAAATAAATAGCTTTATGAGTGCCATACCTACCCTCGAGATTTGTTCCTTGCTAGCTGGATCTCTTGTTTAGTTAAGTTTTACACTGTAGGTCATTTCAAAACCGAGAATTACCAACGCACAATCTCCTTGATCGACTAGGGAAATATTTTGCAATAGGTATAATTGCGATTTGCGGAATTCAATAAGATATCGCATCCAGCACGAAATATGGACGGAATAGAGCCAAACTCGCGAGTACAACCGTTCTCTCGCCGTAGCCCTCGGCCAAGTGTCCCTTCTCTTACGAAGAAAACCGGTACCAACAAACGTCCTTGGCGAAGGACGCCTTGCCGACGATGTGTGCCGCGATAAGACCAGTGACGTCATCGAGCCAGTGACGTCACGGACACAGCTGTCGCGTGTCGCCGCTGTCTGTCTGTGTTGGGGGAGGAGCCTCCATGTCCGGGTTGTGAAGTGGAGATACATTGTGGAATCTGAAAACAGGATGCCGGAGGGCATATTGATATTAGTCACGTGATAACTGAGAAGTTCTCTTTTTTCCAATGCCTCTAACAAGTCAATTGTCATGTGACAATTTCAAGATCCTTGATCAAGTAGCCCCAGGCGCCCTGTTTTCAGATTCCACCAGATAAATTGTGTGCTTGGCATACGAGCAGTTAATATATTTTTGGCGAGCTATAGTGGCGGCTGTGGGGTTTCTGCTTTTGAATGTTCGCTTCGTAATTCGTACCATTACCTAGTCCAAAAAGTAGGTATATTATTGATATAACTAATTGCCTAGCAGTAGGCCTAGTTTTTTAGAGTCAAAGAAACTACAAGGGTGTTGTTGAAAAGGCCATGGTTGGTCATCAAATTCAAATAGAAATGCTTATTTTGCTGTTCCGTACATCCTAAACTGGAGCGCATTTTATTTACTTATAAAGATATTTAGTGTCGTATTGGAATGCATCGGCATAGCCGCGTAGGTCGAATAACGGGTGTAGAAAGGTCATCGTCTTCCCACTCTGTCATTTCTGGATGAATTTTATGATGAATGTCGGACTCGGAACACCGATGGCACATTTCCAAAAATTGTATTATCTTCAATACACACTGGTAACTCATCTGGCATCAACTTGTGCCCGATTAGCCAAGGTTGGGCGACAGCGCCCTTCGGAAAAGCCAAGGTAGCATCTGACATCGTCTGACTTTTGCCCAGATCTCTCTAAGGGCATAATTAACAAACGCAACAACACATGGACGTCAACCAGCAAGCTAATTTCATGTATAATTTTGATCGTCAACTGACCATTTGGTGTAACATACAATCGTCAATTGTAACTCAAAGTCGCGAAAACTATTGAAGCAAAACCAACACACGCGGGTTCTATAAAGCCAAATTGCACTGTCGCATTGCTGTCGCAAACGTAGTAAAAATATTCACACATAGGCTAGTCGAAAAACCTCACAACCAAGCTGGTGGCACGTGCCATTTGGTAAATAAGCCAAACGCACAGCAGTTACGGCGGAACTCACAGCAAATAGCATCAGCGGTGGCGACATCTGCAAACCGAACGGGATGGCGCTTCGAACGGTAGAGTGATACTACAGAGACATATATATAGGACCTTGGGCTGGAGACTCCTATTTCAGATAATCAGTAGAAATATACAGACAAGAATTATACTTTGATGTTAAATCTTATCAATGAGCCGCATATTTTCAACTTTATAGACAACAATGCGGTGAGATGTTGCATAACTCACCATCATCAGCAGCAGCAGCAACCAGTTTAATAATTACACATTGCAATTGAAGAGTTACGAGAGGCCACTGAAAGCGTATCGAAATAATAGCAAAATTGCCATGAAAATAGCACCAACACTGGCTCTGAAAACCCACAAAAATAAGTGATAATCAATTGGGAATAGTTATAGTATCACCTAACATCGCAAAAATGTTTTCTTTTCAGCCAATACCTTGGGTACAGTGTTTGATTACCCGCCCCCAAGACATCGGTATCTGTTACGGCCGATTAATGTAAAGTGCGAAGTGTAGGCTGTAGCCTCATCTGAGGCACCGATGACAACCGTAGCATTGACTCAATAGTTTTCCACGAACAACGATACAACACACTGACCTATCCTAGTAATAACTGTGACTACTGACTGACCTAGAGCGGACATATTACTTACAAAGTTTACCAGAAACTCTGATTTGGTCACTAACAACAGAGGTAATGTCATCTCTCACACACCACACAGTCGTACCTACCAACAAGCACCATTGAAAACAGTGCTGAATGTGCTCTCACGAGTCACGAACAACACAGAGTAATCACTCATACAATCACGCTGACATGGTGATACACTTATACCACGCCTCGACAGGTTCCATGCCCGTCAGTTCCTAGCAGAAAGGGCTGAGAAGATAGGCCGTTGAAGGGTTCCTCGACAGTGGTACGTGTGCTACTACCGATTGGAGGCAAACATGGCTCTGCAGAGAGCCGGGTGTGATCGTAGCTGAGGTCTTATCCTGACTGGTAGCTAACTGGCTGACTGAGTTTGATTACTCGGTTACTCGGGTGACTGTACTGTACTCTAATAACCTGACTCCATTGACTCAAAACTGAACCCCAATCAATCCCAGCACCCAACATCCAGCCATCAAGCATGCAGTTATCAGCCAACCAGTCGATGCCTAACCATGGCCAGCCTTCGAGGAAACGGCTGTCATAATTAGTGCCACTAAACATTGACTGACTGGGTTATGGTCGTATTGGCACTAATATAATGCTTGTTGGAATCGGGATAAGTCCAACAGCCAGCTTTATCGTCATACCACCATGACAACCTGAACAAATCCATCCTGACTAAAGACACATCCTCCAACTTCATATCGATCCACGTCTTTCGCACAACCCATCGTCTCTAACCACCTCACTCAACAGAACATACCTCCCCTTTCACTGCGCAGAATGGACTCGCCCGCGCTGGTGGCGCCGCTCAGCGGAGACCTTCAGAAGCTCAGCACCTGCGGCTTCGTCTCACCAATGCACTTTGTGATGCTGCGTAGAAGCCGGACAAAGTTGGTGTCCTTTGGTTTCTCTAGGCCTCGGTTAGCTCGTGCCTTCATGACGGCTACGAACTCCCGGTTACTAAGCTGCCCGTCATCTGTGAAGGTCAGGGGTCAAGGCCAGAGGTCAAGGGGTCAGAGGTCAGGGGTTGGGGTTACAGGTTAGCTGTCAAGGCTAGGCATCAAAGTCAGAGGAAGGACAAGACAAGTGGTAAGGTCTGAAGAAACTCATAAATTCGGAAAACATGTCTAAAAAAGGTTACAAGCGTGCTGTGTCTTCATGGCTGTGCTGTGCGTGTGTCTTCTAGTGATGATGGTGTACATGACTGCAGCGGAATAGAGCAGATTAGACCAGATTAGACCATATTAGAGCGGATTCTCGGGAGTGGCCTGCAGGAGTCCGTACAAAATAGGCAAAAAAAAACTAACAATAAACACTTTCAAGTTGCTAAGAGCACTGCAGCGGGAGAACGCACCACAACAGCACAACTTAAGGCTCTCTAAAGTAGACATCTCACCAGACAAATGAACATTAACACAGTCTCCATTCCACTGACACTGGTCGCTGTATGTGACGCCACTCATGACGCCACCTGTAAACAGCTGCTGGCGCTAGCACTTACTGTTGTCGTCGAACAGAGTGAAGACGATGTCCACCACATGGTCGGAGAGCTCAACACGTGCCACCGTGCGCGCCACGTGCTTCAGCGTCGCTGTGGGTGGCACACGTGTTATTTAGACACGTGGAACGTCACAGTACGGGCATCGGGGGCGGGGTTATACCTGTATATGAGACACAGGACTCTACGGATTTCTGAGCTATACTTAGTGAGTCTATGATAGCCATCGTTAGTCACCTGGGTCTACGCAGAGGGAGTTATGGTCTACACAAATCATATGGGTCTCCATGAGCATGCCGAGTCTAGACTTAGTGATATAGATCTCTCGTTTACAGCAATACCTTGGAACTATATTGCTCCATGACCCTGTGTAGGTCTACGCTCGTCCCTCGGTTATACACTAGTAATCAGCTGCTGCGACTATGTTCTAGCCTAGTCACCTGGGTCAAGGATCTAATCTAGTCCCCTGCATCTAGTCCCCTATATCTAGTCTAGTCCCCTGTATCTAGTCCCCTGGGTCTAGTCTACTCCCATGTGTCAAGTCCCCTGTATCTAGTCACCTGGGTCTATGGACGCTCCCGCGATATGGTAGAAGGTCAGAGCCGTATCCACATCACAGATACTGTTCAGTAGCTTGCAGAAGTTGTCCGTGATACTACACTAGTCCCATGTATCTAGCCTAGTCCCCTGTATCTAGTCCCATGTATCTAGTCCTCTGTATTTGATCTAGTCCCTGTATCTAGTCACCTGGGTCTATGGACGCTCCTGCGATATGGTAGAAGGTCAGAGCCGTGTCCACATCACAGATACTGTTAAGTAGCTTGTAGAAGTTGTCCGTGATACTACACTAGTCCCATGTATCTAGCCTAGTCTCCTGTATCTAGTCCTCTGTATCTAATCTAGTCCCCTGTATCTAGTCACCTGGGTCTATGGACGCTCCCGCGATATGGTAGAAGGTCAGGGCCGTATCGACATCACAGATACTGTTCAGTAGCTTGTAGAAGTTGTCCGTGATACTAGGGGAGAGCGGGGTCATTTGGCCGCCCGGGTCACTTTTGCCGCCCCATGCCTACGCGTTTTGACGGTCCCGAGCGATTATTTTTGAATATGGCACCATCCGCCGTCATTAGAACTACTTTGGAAAGAAACTAAGGAAACTCGGCGACGCCCATTTTTTTTTTTAGAGCCAACGATATTTGAATTTTGGCTAAAAAACGTAACTTTTTCTTTTTTACGAAAAGTTGCATGGTGTCCCTTATTTGGGTAGCATCAAAATCTTAACTCTATTGGTAGAACAATCTGGTAATTCAGGGAGCTGTGTGACCCTTTTGCAAGTTTAAGTAACAATTTTTGCTTGTCTGCGGACCTCTTTTCCTAAAAATGTCATATTGGGGTAAATTGGCCGCCCCATACGGGGCGAATTGGCCGCCCAGCGACTCAGTTGATTTTTTGCCTAGTCTGCGAGCGACGCGCTGCGCTGGCTAAGTTCTGCCACTGAGGGTGGTAATGCGGCGCAGTCTAAATGCAAGGGACGACCTAACCAAGGTGTCCGCTGATTGGCTTTCGGCACCCGGCGACAGATGGTGAACCCGGGACGTCACATCGACCTCTACCAGGTGGCGCCGATTTTTCGTCGTGCCTAAGACGCCACCTTCACGCGGAAGAACATCCTTAAGGGATTCGAAGCGGCCTGGATATCGCCGCTCAACCGGGATATCTTCGTCGACGAAGACTGCGCCGACGGCGGTCTTCGCACCATGTGTCGCCCCAGCGACGGCAGATCAGCACGCCGCGGCCCCGGCCGTGCTCCAGCCGCCAGCCTCGGCCGTGCTCCAGCCGCCAGCCTCGGCCGTGCTCCAGCCCCCTGCCGCGGCTGTGCTCCAGCCGCCAGCCCCGGGGCCGGCCGTGCTCTAGCTGCCTGCCGCGGCCGTGCTCCAGCCGCCTGCTGTCGCCGTGTCTTAGTTGCTTGTCGGAAGCCCAGAATCCATCCGACCACTTCCGCAGCTGCGCATCAACGTTCGAAAAGCCGGTCGGAAGAAAAAGCGTTCTAAAATCATGACTAGCAGCCCGGAGCGGACGGCTTTGGAGGACGAGCAACAGGCACGTATGGCGAGGAGCAAAAAGCGGGGTCCACAAGCTGGACCGTCGAACCATCGAACGTCGGGAGCTGGACCGTCGAAGAAACAGGGGCGCAAAGGTGAAAAATAGTGAAGCGCAGTGATGACTGGACATGTGTCCATGCCGTCGGAGCCGTATTTTACAGTGGATGTGTTTAAGTGCTGGGTCGAACACGGGGCCTGCTGGAAACATTTTTATTTCGTGTTTACGACAGAGTTTGAAATAAACAACTCGTGCACAAAGGACTTTTTTGCAGTGCGATTGTCGTCTAAAGCAATCTACGATTTGGCAGCCATTACAGTTGACTGTTGTTATCACTGGGCAGTGCTCAACTCATGAGTCGTAAGCTCGTAAATCAAATGTAGCTCCTCACTTGCACTGATTAAAATGAACCGAGTTTAAGCCTAGTCCTTTGAAAAATTATGGATTTCAGGCGAATCAAAGATGAGCCACAATGCATTTGTGTCTCATTTGTGTCAGCATTGGGGCACCTGGATCGTCACATCAGTCATGCATCGAGTCAATTCAGAATTCATGAGTTAAGCACAATCTTGGGCGTCAATATTTCAGGTTGTCTCAGCTCTGTAATGGGTACATTTCTGAATCACATGCCCGGCCAAATGACCCCACTCCCCCGGCCAAATGACCCCGGTACCGGGGTCACTTGGCCGCCGTGCAGTCTTTGAAAGAACGATTAATTACTACCGAAACGAGATGTCCCGGCATGATGCAAGTAATAGGCCGGAACAACAATTGAACGCCCCACACCCCTCCATGGAGAAATCGACCAAACGCGCACTCGTTTTCTCAAAATATCGTTTTTACAAAAGGGCGGCCAAATCGCCCCGTTCTCCCCTACGTGATACTAGAAGTTGTCCGTGTGTATGACAATTCTTCCTAGAAATTTCCGCGATCTGTACGTACCGCCTGTCACTCTTGGTGGTAGTGAATTGAAGTTTGTTGACTCGTACAAGTATCTTGGATTTCAGCTTACTAACAAAAGCACCAGGGCTGATGACATGGAAATTCATCAACAATATCGTAATTTGTGCTGTCGTGCGAATTCTTTGAGTCGAAAATTTGCAATGTGTTCATACTCCGTTAAGAAGTACCTGTATACTACCTACTGTTCAAATGTCAGTTGTGTGCACCTTTGGCACTCCTTTCATGCATCTGTTCTAACGAAATTCAAGGTGTGTTTTAATAATGCTGCCAGGATGTTTCTTGGCTACGATAGGTTTTGCAGTGCGTCTAATATGTTTGTTCAGGAGTGTTTACCTGGCTTTGACGCGCTGTATCGTAGATCAGTGTGGAACTTTGTGTCACGTCTTGCACGATCTTCCAACAGGATTGTGTTGTCACTATTCTTTAGTGACTTGGCCTACACTTCCTTGATAAGGAAAGCATGGTCCAAGAGCTTGTATGGAAGTTGAGATTGAGTTATATTGGGCCTTGGTTCCCTAGCTGAGTGGATGCCTCGTTTATGGACCTAGAGTCTGCCAATAAAGGGATCTCTCTCTCTCTCTCTCTCTCTCTCTCTCTCTCTCTCTCTCTCTCTCTCTCTCTCTCTCTCTCTCTCTCTCTCTCTCTCTCTCTCTCTCTCTCCCTCTCTCTCTCTCTCTCACTACACTAGTCCCATGTATCTAGCCTAGTCCCCTGTATCTAGTCCCATGTATCTAGTCCTCTGTATTTGATCTAGTCCCCTGTATCTAGTACCCTGGGTCTAGTCTACTCCCATGTGTCAAGTCCCCTGTATCTAGTCACCTGGGTCTATGGACGCTCCCGCGATATGGTAGAAGGTCAGAGCCGTATCGACATCACAGATACTGTTCAGTAGTTTGTAGAAGTTGAGGTAGTCGTTCTCGGTGACACCCACCGCACTCTCCTGTGGGGGTCAGATAAGGGTCAGATCAGGGTCATATCAGGGTCAGATCAGGGTCCGATATAAGGGTCAGGAAAACAGGGCCTACTTGGGACCAGGAGTAATACTGAGGTCAGAAAGTGATGAGCCATTATTCTGAGGTCCGGGGATCCTATGAGAGTAGGAATTGACCTTGGACCCATGGAATCACGGTCAACAAGTACATACATACGCTTAACCCCAATCAAAGTTAAACCAGTAAAACGCCTTTTGGGCGAAGAACGAGCGAGCGAGATAGTGAGCCCTGCACGTGCGGAAGGGCGAGAGGGTACTTCCAGCGGGCTTGTGCAAAGCACCCTTCTAACCGGTCGCTAGCGGTGTGACAAATTTGAACGCAATCGGCCCAGCCGTTCCTGAGATCTGGAAGCGGCATTCTGCACGTGCGCACGTGCAAACGGGGTCCCAACTGACTTGTGCACGGCACCCTGCTAACTGGTCCCCAACCGTGTACCAAATTTGAGCGCAATCGGCCCAGCCGTTCTCGAGATCTGGGAGCGCCCCCTGCACGTGCGCACGTGCAGTAGCACCCTAACCTTAACACATGCAGATGAATTATCTGATGGAGACCTAACTGTGTACCGAGTTCCAATTCAATCGGCCCAACCGTTGTGCCGTTATTGAGGTTGCAATTTTGGGGTTCTTAAAAAATGCCCAACTTTACCACGCGCCACGTGCGGTGGTTGGCAAGAACGCATGGTGGCCATCACACCACAGAACTTTTACGTCCAAGTGACATTCAGTAAAGAAAACCGCTTGTCAATCGGATGTCCCGTTCCTAAGATATTAGCTTTTGAAGAGCGTCCCCACGGCCGGCCGGCCGGCCGCTCATACTCAGGATTTTCCCTTAGGGACAGTATCATCGAAAAAAAAAATCAATGTATGGAGCTGATTTTTTTTTACTAGCATTTCTTATTTTTCTGAATCAGAAAAACATAGTTTGAGGACCGAACTCGGTGAAAAATATTTTTCATGAGCGAGTCATTTTCATGAGCGAACCACCACTACAAGCATGGCCGCCACTTTGGAAGCCTGCGAAATTACTACAGAACTGGCGCAGATAATACATTATTGACGCTACGCTTACGCGGCCGCTCTTCTGATTGAGTTGTCGTTGAGATCGAGACTGATCAGATGACGTCATACATATACGTCATACATTGGAGGGAGATTGTGATTCAAGCTGGAGGAATTCCTTTGTTGAGCCGCTTGAATCCGAAGGAAACAGCGGAAATTGCCTACGACTATTTAATGAATTTAACGGTGATGAATAAGTGCGAAAAACGTTTTGGCTTTATAAAATTTGATGAAATGACCAGGGTAAAAGTTTTATTACTGGCGGTCAATTCAAAACGGCGAAAACATTTAACCCTCGCCCGCACATGCCATTTTCCCATCCTAGAACGCACATGGGGGGGGGGGTGGTTGCCACCCCCCCCCGCGCCATTTCGTTCCTGTTGGAGATAGAGCTTAGCGGTAAAGACCAAAAAGATTCTTTGGGAAGAGACGAATCCAATGATACCCAGTTTTACCTTCTCAGGTCAGCCATTGACCTTCCAGGTCAGGTCAAACTAAAAAATGTTGCTGTTTTAGGTCACCGTTGGATATCAAGCGCGCTGCTTGTCATATACCGATGACGACGCCGTTTTCTGGTGCCAAGCCAGCTAGAACCTCTTTGTCACACTACCCGACCAGGTTTTTGCTGCTGAGGTCATCTCAGGTCAAGTTAGGTCAAGGTCAATAATATGTGTTTGTATGTCTGTGTGTGTCTGTGTGTATACTGATGTGTGCACCGATTGTTTATGTGTCCATATTACATGAAATCATGATCTGAGAAGCTTTTACCAAAAACGTTGTCAAAAAATTTCAAAAAAAGTAAATTCAGCTTGCCTAAAACGCAATTATCTTAGATGACCTAGGTTGACCTTGACCCTGATCTTGACCTCTGTACATCGTCGAACAACATGTTTCATGATAGGTGGGAGGTAGGATTGGCATAA